CATCCCACAATGTATGCACTCTAGCGTGTGCATATAGGCTAGAGGAGAAGTTTGATTGATTGTCTGCTTTGCATGGGTGGAAGTAGATATACAGTGGGATGCAGGCTGGGAGCAGGCGGCCACAACGAGCGACGTAGGCGGAGCTAGCTAGGTGGACAGGTGGTCTATGGGCCATCCTAAAATTTAGCTCAAGGTTAAACTACAGTAGAAGAGCTCTTTAAAATCATGAAAATTACACATGGACCACTCTATAATTTGGTTTTACATCTACAGTGGACCACCCTTGCTCCAGATCCTAGCTACGCCACTGACGAGGGATGCAGGATGGGAGTAGTGGGTGCACATGTAAGAGCAACTCCAAGAGAGATATTATTTTTATTTTGATCTTAATTTAAACAATCTGTCGTATAATTAAAATATACTCCAACAGATATTGTATCCGAGTTTATAAAATAATACCCAATGAGCTATCGCATCTATTATGCTTGCTAAAGAAAGCCAGCGTGCGCTCGCCGCCGGCCCTCCCTCACCGATTTCGCGGGGTTGATGAGTCTTTTCCCGCGAGAAAGCTTCACACGTGCGGCATGGTTCTATATGGTTGCGCTCGTCTCCGGCCGTGCCATGGTGGCGCTGCTGGCGCACGTCTTCAGCCGCGCCGTGGCGGCGTACTTCATCAGCGCTGAGTCCAGGCGCATGGGGTTCAGAGACTTCATCAGGTGGAACGATCCGGAGAGGTCGGGCTGCTCAAGGATAATAATCGTTCAATGCGATATCACCGTCCTCAACATAACTGGAGCACCGATGACGACGGTGACAGCGGCGGCGGCGACGCTCTGACTCCAGTGAAGGTAACTATGCCGCTGTCCTCTGTCGAACCTGCACAAGCACCTCAACAATCTGCTGGAAAGAAGCGAGGGACGAACGCCACTGTTGATGTCGCCGGGGAGGCTTTCGATGCCTATGTGGCAAATTTTGAATATGGAAATAAGAAAATTTACAAAGTCTGTTGGACAACCCATAACTTTTTAGGAGATTTTGTTTTTACAGGATGGCTAAATCATGTGTCCTGTTCGCTTGGCTGATAAGCCATGACTGAAAGTACTGTTGGCTGATTTATTGTGAGAGAAAAATATTATTCGTTGGCTGAAAAAAGTACGGCTTATAAGACAAGCGAACAGGGTGTTTATTTTTACCTAACCTTTTAAAGTTGCTCTAAAGCTCTGAGGTTAAATAGACCGTCCATACAACCAAACAATATTTTAGTTTTTGACATCCTCTTAGGTAACCTTATCAAATACTTTCTTTTCAGAAATAGGTTCCACCCATCTTACATCCGCTCGTACAGAATATACGATACAATCAACATCCGGCAACCAAACACACCGTACACATATATAGTACAAGGAGGAGGTCTAAAAGAACCTAGTAGGATACATCGCGGATGGTATGTTCCAAGTCCTTTTGTCTTTACCATACAGGATATAGTGGTCGAGACAAGAGTATATATTTCGTGCATATATCAAATGATAGCAGCAGACAAGTAATCTTCTTCGTGAACAAGAAATTAACCTTTTGGAATCATGACTTTGGACATTAATTTTGAAAGTATGACTTTATCAATTTCTAGATCTGGCACATTAATAATCTTCTAGATCAAGTTGCTGATAGGACACTAACAATACAAATTTCGTTGAATACACAAGAATCAAAATTAATTTGTTATTCAAACACGAGCCATGAGTGAACTGCATGCATAGATTAATTAAGTGCTAGGGAGTCTTCCGAAACTCGATATTTTTATGTGAAGAAATGTTGATAAAGAATACACCTACCACTACAGTCCAGATGGGCCTTGGGGCCGCCATTGTTGTTCGTGAGATTGGGCCACGGCCGACAAGAGATCCATCCCATGGGCCCTAATCCTGGGGCGACTAATAGAAACTTGAACTCGCTTTCCAAAGCTGCAAAAGGATTGGGAAGTTGCCATCTTTCAGAAACAAACAGTAGCCTCGCCAACACATATGATGCAATCAATTGGATTCTCGTATTCTTCGCACATTAAACTTCAAATTGTACTACTACTGCGATGAATAGCTGAGGCAGTCGCAAAGAGTCTCAGGCGACTATCCTGATCTCCCAATGTTTTCTCAATTCATAATTCTACTACAGCAGTGCGGCTTTTTTCTCTTTTTAAGTTCCGATTTCGGTATGGGTTTGTCCCGATCCAATCGACCGGAGTTGTATGTGTTTATTTTTGTCTAGACTGGGCTTCATCTGCTTTTTAATATTGCTTTTTAATATTAGATATATGCAACAAATTTTTATCGACATCTACGGCAACGCCCGTGGCTTGCGGTTTAAACGAATGTATTAAGTAATCTACAAATCACCGGAGGTAGAGCAGTGTGCGCGAGCCCCTTCTTGGAGACCGGCGCCAGGTCGACGTCCGACGCATCGTCCGCACCGGCAGCAGCCATCCCCTGAGCTGCCGCCGCCGCTGCGGGCGGCGTCATCGCGGTCTAGGAGATGAAGAGCTTCTTCTCGGCACGGAGGCTGCTGGGGCGCTCGGACACCGGCGTGGCGGCGGTCTGCAGTGCCGCCTAGCATGGAGGCGCCGGAGTGGAAGATGGAGCAGCTGGGGATGGTGGCGGCGCCCTGATAGTGACCGGAAGTCCGGAACTGGCGGAGGCGCTGGCGAGAAGGAGACCTGGGGAGCCGCTGGCGCGAGTACCCTGTACGCGGCCGCTTCCGACACTCCGTGGCGCCAGCCACCGGACTCGTCATCGCGCACGCGACCCCGGTCGACCGTGGGTACGAACCCATAACGCTACGGGCTGATATGGGTTTTTCCCAGAAACCGTTTTAATTTAACCAAACCATGTACAGGCACGTACCGTAGCAGCCTGGGCCTGGGGGGCGGGCGGACGGTGGCGGTCTAGCAGCCTGGGGGCGGGCGCGCACACGAAACACCTATAAAAAAAATAGAAGGAGAGAGTCATGGAAAGTGATAATAACAAAATAAAAATTTATAAAATTTGGATCTGTTTTTTTATTGGTGTTTGATCAGCGTTTAATCTTGTACACCTAAAAAGAAAAATAGAGATGACAATTACCTGAGAGATGTCTTCCTACCGTGGCAGTGGCAACGAAGACGAACGGCAGCCGGACGTTGTGACGTCGGATGTCTAGAGTTCCAGCGGCCAGCAGCACGTACCATCACCAACATGTAATTTTCGCCACGTTTCCAATGCGACGCCATGAAGATTTTCTGAGGATTTTATTGGATTTTATTTAAAAAATCTTACTCAGTTGGTGAACTAGCCAAGCCTATGGGCCTGGCGGGCTATTCTTGCAATTTTACAAGGCTTGTAACTAGCCTATGGGGCATTATTTCTATGGATCTAGCAAGCATGATGCTACTCCAAAGGATGTGAGACAGATGAGGGCTAAGAGATACAGAGGTAACTGTCACTTTATCCAATATACATGTATACTGATAAACAATTTAAAATGCTTTGATTAAATAATACCGATCAGTGTTATAATGTTTAGTTAGAGGTATGGGAAAACAAAATAAAGAAAAATATACTCTATAATCCTAGTATTGCCAATAAAAAATCATTTACAAGCTCTAGAAATTACCATGTTAATTAGAAGGAAAAAAAATGACAGCATCGCTCTACGCATTGATAAATCACCTCTAGTATTGTTTGTCTTAGTATTTCGGTAAAAATAACCCTCCACGATAATGCCCCAGGACTGAAAATCTCCATAGAGTCATTAACAGAATTAAATTAATCCTACTTTATGGGGTTTTCTTTAAGGGCATGTTTGGTTCCCAGCTTCTAAATTTAGTCAGCTAAACTACCTCCTAAATTTTAGTCAGGCAGTGTTTGGTTTGGTGGACTAATTGTGACTAAACTTGACATGTGCATGTTTAGGATGACCAAAACGCCCCTAAGCTCCTGCCCCTGGCATTTGGCCGGCGGGGAAGGGGAGGAAGGACCATCGGCCGACGGAGAAGGGGAGGAAGGAGAACTGGCCGACGGAGAAGGAGAGGAAGAAGTGCCTGCCTGCCGGTGAGCTCCAGCGAGATCCGGTCAAGATGAGCTCGACGCGCGAGATCCGGTGAGCCCCGTCCCTAGTGCGCGCGGGCGGCCCGGTAAGCTCCGGCGAGATCCGGCGCCGTCCTATCCCCAGCGCGTGCAGCCGGCATGGTGAGCACCGGCCACGGGCGGTGGCGGCGCCAAGGGCTCCGTCGTGCGTGCGTGCCTGGAGCCCCGGTCTCGAGCGGGTGCGGCTGAGCGGGTGGTGCGGCGGGCGGCTGAGCGGTGGTGCGGTGAGCGGGTGGTGCGGCTGGGCGGGCAGCAGCGAGCGCAGGGGCGAAGCCCGGCCGCGGGATAGGGTTGGCGCTCGGGACAGGGCAATTATGAGGGGCACCACTTGTCCAGGTGGCCTTTTAGTCCCTTTTAGTAAGTTTTGGGTGACTAGTTGGCTAAATGCCATTTAGTCATATTTAGTCAAAGTGTTTGATAAAAAAGTTCCTAAAAGGGACTAAAGCTACTAAATTTAGGAGCTGCTAGGTGAACCAAACACCCCCTAAATGGGGCAAATGCAAACCTGTTACACCTTCTACAACCTTCTAGAAACCAGCAGAGCTCTAGGTGTTTAAAGAAGATCAAGCTCTAGATGAAAACCAGTAGAGAATCCGACATTCGAAGTCGATGTGCATCTACACTACATCATCGCAATTATTAAAAAAAAGAATCATGAAATTTTCAGGACCACCAAGGCATAAACACGATTAAACTAAAGGAGCCGGCCAGATCGATTTGACAAGTTTGCAACAGCTTTAGTTTTAAGAGGGTTACAGTGAGTTTGATCTGATGCCCTCACCTGCCTCAGTTACAACTCTGCAAAACTGAACATCAAAAAGGATTTAGAGCTGCCTGAAACAGATGAAAATGGCACTCTTCTCGATCATTCTTTCCTCCTCTTGGTTACCTGCTGATTAGGTGCTGGGACAGTTTGTCCCTCAGCCTAACTCCATTCTCATCGGCTAGCTGGCACACCTGCTGCCTGTACTTAGCGTCATGGTCGCTCGACCACGCCCGTGCCTCGTCCGTGGCTGTTTCCTGAAGGTCTATGATTATGTTGTGCAGCAAGCAGCAGACATGGATTATCCGGGGCAGCTTGTGCTTGTCCGGACGCCACATCTCCCCCTGCAGGAACTTCCACGTGTCCTTAAACTTGGCCAATGTCCTTGGAGCGACTGTTCTCGCTGCAGAGTGCCTACTGTTGAACTCAGCACTGGACTCTGTGAGGTCCTTCTCTTGGTAAGGTGTGAGCAGCCAGGGAAGAAGAGGGTAGCCCGAGTCACCAATCAAGTATTCCCCGATCTCTGATCCATCTGATACCTTCAGCTTGCTGCCATTCAGCCGCTCACCTTTCTCACAGAGCTTGAAAAGGCCAGAGCTGTGCAAAATGCTCGACTCTTTCATGCTACCAGGCCACCCAGTCACGATGTCTGTAAACCTCGTATCCAGATCAACAACAGCTTGCAATACCATGCTGTAATTTTTCTCCTGATCAAGCCAGACCTTGCAGTTTGGCTCAGCTGATGAAAGGCACATTGTGATGTGTGTTGTGTCCACAACGCCGCAGCAATTTGGCAGACCATGGATCTTCTCAAACTTGGACTTGACCTTCTCCATTTCACTGGAGTCTGGCCAGCGCAAGTGGTGGCTCGCTCGCTCCTCCATGGCCTCAATGAATCGCCAAGTTATCAGCGATACGGTTGAGTGGTTCACTCCAACAGAGGATCCTACGGTCACCAGTGACCCACCAGAGTTCAGCTCCGCAGAGCAATGGCCACTCGATCTTCCAAACACAGCATTGTGCCATCAAGAAAGGTATAGCTGCTGGACCTCACCATCATTTCATCTTTCACCAAGTTGCAGACATAGTCAAAAGCTCTTCTTGGCATTTTGAACACAGACTCGAATCTCAGTGCATCCTCGATATAAGATAAGGTTCCTATAAGAAGAAAACATAAGACTAGTTATAAGTTTGAAACTTCCATAATTGGTAAGTGGTAAGCAAGAACAGAGGGATTACAATAGAGCATTCCATCTAGCTTTATTAACCTTGACAGGAGTATCTAAGAAGGAAACATGATATTTACGAACATGAACACTAATCACAGATAAATTACACTAGAGTATTTTGTCAGGTACAGATCAAATTCCAATCTACATAATTTCGTATCGACCCGTTCGGCTTACCCCATATCCGGCTTGTTCGGCTTCTTTTTTTCAGCCGGAACAGTGTTTTTCTCTCACAACATTTCAGCGAGAACAGTGTTTTTCAGCCAATTTCAGCCAAGATTCAGCAAGCCGAACGGGGCCTATGGTCATAATTGCTAAGTTAGTTCCATGTCGAGCAGTCCAGCACCAAAAGAAAATAGTAATATTGAAACCAGAATCAGTTATCTATGTGACATGTATAAATAAAAAAATGTCTCTTTTAAATACTTGTTTGAAGTTATACTTAGTAAAACTGGGACGAGTAAGGTTAGCTTATGAAATAGTTCAGAAATAAGTTTGGGGTTGATCGTGTTTAATTAAGGGGTCATCTCGTAATTCCTCAAAGATTCTCAGAAAGAGCATCACTGCCCTTTACGTACAACTTCCATCATGCTCTATTTCTGCTTCACTAAATTAGGATTTGAGAAGTCCTTCAACTTCTGAGAAAATTAATTGCAAAACAAAAATGAAGCCCAATGTACTGTGCAAAAATAGAATGATTGATACAGGTGCTGCTATAAGTACAAGGCTGAATCACATGGCAAACTCAATCACAAAGCTAATATGTGCTTATAGAGCAAGAACAGCTATCATATCCGTAGGCAGTAGCTATCAGTCCTATGGACTGATCAAGACCATTGCCATAATCAAACCACATGACTAAAGCTGCGTTAATTTCAGACCTCCTGCAATTTTAGCCATTCAGCAAAAACTGAACTTTTCAATCCTGCCAACTTAATAATCACAACAGGGATACAGAATCCAGTGCTCTGTTCTTGGCAACCTAGTTTAATTCGAAAATGGAATCACACCTAAAACTGGAATGTTCACTGTTGACAGTTCACACCTAAAACTGAACACGACTCAGGCCAGCGGCATTGCTCCAACTCCAGCATTACCACCACACTAATCACGCCCACTCCGTACCACGATCGACAGAGCCGCAAGATAACCGGCGCAATTCCTCCCTGATGCGACACAGATCTACCAATCGCCGCCCGACGGTCGGGAGCAAGCATCCACCGCGCAATCCGCAACAAATCTTAATGACGGAGACCGACGCACGGCCACCAGCGAGCACCATAGTCAGACATCCAGAGGCGGACGGGGGAGGGAGACGCACCTGACATCCGCATGCAGAAGGCGTCCCACCAGTCGGCGGGCGGCTCGCCCGCGGCGGCAGCCGCCATTGCGGCCGCGGCCGCCTTCTTCCAACGCCGCCTTCCGGCGGCGCTTGCCCGCAGCAGCGGCGGCATGGCGCGGGCGAGGAGGAATCGAGAGGAGCGGCCCGGAGGCGCGCGGGTAAGGGACGAATCAGAAAGCCGGGGCGGCGGGCACGGACATGGACGGCGAGGTGCGGCCGCGGTGGCTTGGAGGACTCGGCGGCAGGCGGCGGAGGATGCAGCGCATGAGGAGTGCCGCTGGGAGGATAGACGTTGGCGCAAGTTCCTGCGCTGCGGATTGGGATGTTTGAGAGGGGAGGGGAAGGGAGAAGCGGCGGCGAGGGGGAGGAGGTGGAGCACGGCGAGGCGGAGAGGGCGGAGAGGGACAAGGCAGGAGGAGCCTCTTTCTACCTGGAGGATTTTACACATATACCATTATAAAAAGTTTGTAATTACACATAAGTCACTGAAAAGTCTTAGTGGTCATAGGTGTCACTAGTCGGAACTTTTTTTTTTTGCCCTCTGCGCCATCCCATCCACATTTGATGCTAACGGTGTCAAACTACGGTGAGAAAAGTCTAAATTGCCCTGGTGTCTTAGCTTCATGCAAAAGTTTTTTGTTTTCTCAGTGCCACTGAAAGTCTGAACGATGTCCAGCACGCCTGCCGTGACAAAGGCCGATGCCCATTCATTGTTGATGCGTGAACCCACGAGGCCGGCCGATGTAGGAGCGCACGACGGGCATAATGACAGTCATAGATGGGGATCCAGACGATGACGTTGATGGTGTCCACCATGGAGAGTGTCGCCGAGGGGCGAGGGGGTCTTGAACTTGGGCCCCTTGCGCTGGTCCAGCGTGTTGCCAAGTATCTCCGCCGCCTCCTGGTACGCGCCCTGCTCTGCGGCCGCCCTAGCCGCCGCCATGTCTTCAATCGCCTCTAGTCGGACGCGCTCCCGCTCCACCTCCGCTGACCGTTCCGCGTCCGCCGTGTGCTCCGGCGCGCCTCGCCACCACCATGTCCTCTGGGATGGCCGCAAGCCATGGCGACGCAGGCCACCTGCACCACTACGGTGAGCATGGCGCCGATGCACTGCGCGAAGGCGTCCTGGATGACCGCCTCATTCTCGATGAAAGAGAACGTCCCGCCGGTGGCCTCTGCAACGACTTGCATCGCCGCCGCGTCATGGTCGTCGCCAAAACCAAAGGTGTGGATGGGCACAGAGCCCTCGCTGGCGCTGCCACTGTCAGGCACGAAGGACGGTGGCACCAGCATCTCGTACACTGCCCCGCACCAGACACAGCGTCGCGGCATGTTGTAGTTGTCCCGGTCGTCGGAGAGGATAATGATGGTGGAGATGGCATTCCGGTACCGGCACTCGCCGAGCACCTTGGAGGCTGTTCTGAGCAGCAGCCGAATCACGCTCTTGAGCTTCCTCGTGCGGGATGCTGACCTTCTCCCACGAATGTTTAGAGTTTGCTTTGAACTGCATTGCGATTCATTACGGTATGATACAGTCACATTGGCATCCCATGCATGCGGGCTCCGGCAAACACCCTCACGCCTCGTTCTGGAGCTTGGCCACATTGCAGTCCCTAGAGGATGCGACGAGCAGGACTTGGTCGAAGCGCGCGACGTGGCCACACACGTACCTCGCGCACCAGCTTCAGCACCGTGGTCTTACCCACGGCGCCGGTGCCATGGACGCCGAGCGCGGCGTCACAGTCGTCAAGGAAGCGAGCACCTCATTGAGGTAGGCCCTCGTAGACCCCACCTCTGCTGAGAGACCCTCCAGCTCCTCTTGGCCGCAGAGCAGAGGAGGCGGCACCTGCGGCGTGGCCAACGCGGCGTCGAGGATCGCCGCGTCCTGCTCCCAGAGTGCACGCACCACCTTGAGCTGCTGCTCGGCCAGCCCCGCGATCGATCCCATGCGAAGGAAGAGGCACTGCACTAGGCGGACCACGTACAGCTACCCGCCGTCGTGCCGCACCTTGATGGACGCCATCTCGTCCTGTGCCTCCTGCACGCGCCGTAGCCGTGCGCTCCGCACGGGATCCAACGACGGTGCCGGGTCGTGGCCCAGCACCTCGGACCGCTGCTGCCACAGGGCCTCCACCGCGTCTGCCAGCTCTGACCCGTCAGTCAGTGCCAGCCAGCAGGGGCCAACACATGCCGAAGAACAGCACTAGCACCGCGACGCTGAGGGCGAGCGAGCGAAGGAAGAAGAGGATAAGGTACGAGAGACAAAGGGCATTTTTGACATCTTCATTGGCCAGACCCACGTGTCAGGGCAATCAAACGGCAAAAAAGCGACAGAAGGTGGATGGAATGGTGTGGAGGGTAAAAAAGTTCCGACCAGTGGCACCTATGACCGCTCGAACTTTTTAGTGGCTTGTGGGTAATTATATACTTTTATAATGGCATACAGGTAAAACCCTCTTCTTCTTGGGGAGTTGGGGAAGGATGGAAGGGAAGTGTATTTACTGTTTGGGCATATACACGTAGAAAGTGGTGTATCGTGGTCGTATATGTACAAAAGTGGAATGACAACGTGCGTGATTCAGGTGTGTTTTGTGCTACTGCTACAGTGTTACTGAGTACAATTAGTTTCATATGTCTATACATATTGAGATATACGTATGGTTACATGTACATATATATGTTGATGTATTTATTTTGTTTGATTGAGATGCCAAAAGGCGCCAAAAGGACGGAGCGGTTTTATAAGACAGGTAACCGTTATACATATCCAGAATGTTTTCCACCCTTGCGTGACGCGAGGTAGGTGGAAAAACACGTATAACATAATTTGCTATGTTATTTGTCGGAGATGCCAAAGGGCGCCATAAGGGTGGAGCGGTTTTATATGACTAGTAACCGTTATACGTATTGGGAATGTGAAATGTGAGTCAAAAATTAAAATATGGGTTGCAAAACGCATATAATGTGATAATATAATTATCTCCTAACGTCTAACTAGTCTGATTTAATTTGCTTCCAATAAAAAAAATGAGTGATTTAATCCCTAAAGTATTTATACTTTCTTTTCTTAAGTGTTTTTAGATCGTTGGAGATGGAAGTAGAGTGGCACAGAGGCACATATGGGCAGACCACACAACGAAACGGAAGTGTGCTGTGGACCGGGTCAACGCCGCCACCCTTCCTGTCCCTTTCATGAGAAATGTTCAGCTTGGAGGTGTCGCCATTAGCCCATCATTGCTAGTACTTATCCAAATCTTTTCAACAAGTCATGTTACCTGTAATGTACAGTAATACTAAAATCAAATCTGCCTGAGTTCAGCACGAAGGTGTCCATCAGCTGTGCATCTTCGATTTTGGGGATTCTCGACAGCGTGGATTTATAGCAGCCAGTTTGTTTTAGCTGAAACGATCGTGGATTATTACTGTTGACTAATTTGATATGAGAGAAAAATACTAAACGAACAGGCTATCGGTTTTGGGTATGAAAGTGAAAATAGTTTCCATTTACTGCACATAGATATTCTTTTGACCATCTTGTCATGAGATGGAGCAACTACAGCCACCGCTAGCGCCAGGCAGGGAGATGTCACTTGTCAGCGTTGTACGGAGTACAGGAGAGGCTGCTGCTTCCTGGGCCCAAAGAACAATGCATTGTACTCCTAATTGTTTTAGCCCATCAGACTATGATAGGTCATTGTCTGTAAATCAATTTTTTTTCTCTTTTCTCGTATGTGTAAATAAAACAGCTAAAAACAAACAAAAAAGCAAATTGGCGTCGGCGTAGCATGTAGATGACTCACATGGAAGGAGACGGTCACCCTTGGCCTCCCTCAATGTGAGGGAGAGAGTGGAGGGAAAGAAGCCGGTGATTTGTATGAGGTTGTGGGCTGAAAGCCAGGGTCTGTAATGGGCTGGATTCGTTTCCACGTGTGGACCGCCGTCCGTCTCTATAAAGGCTAGAGACATTTCCAACTGGTGCTTATTGCTGCAGCCGAACAGTCTTATTAGTTCCACTAAAAAAAATCCAGAGAAGCTAGTGTATTGTCGTCCTCTGAAAATCAGAGTGGCTATCTCTCAAAATGAGTTTTGTGGTAGTGCCTAAAACTTTCTTTGGCAAGTTTTGTTCAAGAGAACGTACTGGTTATGACATTGGGTGCAGTTGTAGCATCATGAAGATAGCAACGAGCACTACTTCCAAGTTTGTCGAGAGTTGGACGCTACGTACGGCGATAAATTATTTGGTTCATTTGCATGGCTAAATAATGTTAGAATTGAGTTTTTGCTACATTGTTCTAATAGAAGTGGTCAGATTTTCTTGATTACCAAGAAACGAAGCCAAATGTTTTTTTTTTTCTGACGGAGACCTAGATATAATTAATATTTTATTTATTAAATCGCATACTTTTGCTATTTTTTGTAAAAAAAATTGTTAAACTTATTAAAAATAAAATAAATAATGGAATAACTAGTGCCCGAACGCCTGGCCCCAGGCCCGCGTCAGGATGCAGCTCCGCCGCACCATGTCCCGTCCCCCACGTAAGAGAGTGTCAACCGCGCCCGCGTAACAGGGGAGCCCACCCGCTCGCCGCGCCCGCATAGGGTCTCAGCCTCGTTACGCCCGCGTCACCTCCATAGCCAGGGTCTGCATCTCCGTCGCACGTGGAGATGCCACAAGCTTATGCTCTAGGACCTCCGACAAGGCCAGCGGAGGCAACATGTCATACAGGAATGAGCTGTGTGCGCCAACGCGGATGCCTACGCGTCCTCAGGTGGAGCGCTGCCGCCAGCTTACAGACGATGCCACCATGGCTCCCGCACTATCTCTCTCTTCCTCACTAAACAGACCTACATCGAGATCTAATTTTGCAACGCTCAGATAAAACAATTGCAACATATGATTAAAATAGATGAAACATTTCGAACGTACACTTGCAACATAGTCATTATAACATATGCAACATCCAGATAGAACACTTGCAATATACGTATAAAACAGATGAAACATATAGAACATGTTGTTGCAACATATATGTGAAACATATGCAAACATCCGGATCAAAACGCTTGCAACATATGTCTGGAACGGATGAAACATTTTGAACAAACGCTTGC